AGTTAGTCCTAGGTATTTATAGCATGAGACTTGTTCTAACTTCAGACATTTACAGTTATTTACATTGTTATTTCTGTGGAAACAATCGTAGGTATGCCCTTTAATTACAATGTCGGCATGCTTTTGTCGATTGTATGGCGAAGATATTAACATAAGTTTAGTTTTGCTTATATTCATTACAATACCATTATCATGCGCCCATTTAACAATGTTGTCTAAGTCTTTTTGCATAACTATTTGTATCGTCTTTGGATATTTGTACGAGTACATTAGGCAAGTGTCATCAGCATACATATACATTTCACATGATCGTACTACTTTGCTCATTCCATTTACATGAATGATGTACCCTACTGGACCGAATACTGAGCCGGTTGGGACTCCATATTTGATTTTACCAAGGTCACTACTAGTTTCGCTAATGCGGACTTCTAACGTTCTGTCCTTTAAATAGTTGCGGAACCATAAGTTTGTGGGTCCTCGAATACCGCACTCTTCCATAGACTGCAACAATCCATCGTGGTTCAGTGTGTCGAAAGTTTTTTTAAATCGATAAAAATAACGGCTACTAGGTTTGGGTCATTAATAGCGTTGTTCACGTCGTCTGTAAATTTAGCTAAAGCCATGTCTGTGCTTCTTTTTGGCCTAAATCCATATTGTAAATCTGTAATAACATCATTATTTTCTAAGAATTCTGAAATTTGTTTGACAACAATTTTTTCGGTAATTTTATTGATTACATTAAGTATGGCGATGGGTCTATAGTTTGTGTATTCTTGATGCGATCAAAAAACGGAACGGCATACGGAACAGGCCGGTGAGGGGCGCATATTCATAGTTAACCTAGGGCTGTTCAAACTCTGAATCGGGCACTGCTAAAGCTAAGAGGAAATGCCTCACAGAATTGAACCGAATTTATTAACCCTTTTGCTTCGTCACCCTTCCACAGTATTTTCTCAAAAAATACATTAAAACCGTACTTATTCCATTATTTCACACGCACAGAATGAATTAACACTTAGTACACATCATATAAAGAAATATTATAATTAACTATACGTATTTGTAAGATGTTTTTGTTTTATGTAAACAATATACCGGTTTTATAATTTTGAATAAATCCTTGGGAGAGCAGTTTAAAATGTACAGTCGTCATCTATTTATATAAAAAATTAATGTGCGTACCACCAAGATTAATTACGTTTTATTTACGTTAAGTAGACTTTTAGTATGAGTCGATGACGTACAAATATAGAGGCACGGTGTGGTCGAACGAACTTCTATAAATTATAAGCTTCGCCTGGATCTGGATCTAATGTGGCCTCAGTTAGAGTTAAGATTTCTCAAAAACATTATTTTATAAATTTTTCCAAAAAGTTTTTCAAGTTTTCGGATAAAATAGTCTTGGTCACTTCCTTCATTGCCTTTTATCTGTTTGTGAAGATTTATTACAATCCTGAAAACTAAACTAACAACCAGACGACCAGTGCATGTTACCAGTGATGACTTATGGAAGTAGTCCTTCGTTGCTGGCCGTAGGAAGACGCTCATGATCGCTCAGCGAGCTATGGAGAGGGCTATGCTCGGGGTTTCTCTAAATGTCAGACTACCCCAGGAGGGTACCAGTACCCCTAAAGAATCGACGAAGTTACTCCACTCCTGAGCGTGGGTGCTCAGGCTGCCACGCGTATGCTGCGTGGGGGGAGGTAAATTCCACTCAAGACAACAACTGCTCGGGACAAGCTAAAAATGACCAAGGCGCCCCTGCCACGCTATCCGTGAATTTCTGCAATATCAGGGGACTTCACTCGAACCGCACCTAAACGCCGTACACTACCATCTCGAGACGGCGAAGCCGCCTCTGCTCTTTCTGACCGAGACGCAGGTGTCCACTCCGTCTAATGTTTCGTATCTCTCCGGGGTACAAACTAGAACACTCCTTTGTGCCTCGGGCTGGAGTCACTAAGGAGGCGCTTGCGTATACGTCAGAGTGGACATCTGTTCTCGACGCCTCGGCAGTCTTGAGGGTTCGGATCTGTCCATCATTTGGCTACGCGTAGACAGCGACGACCATCGGCGCGACTACGGGTGCCTCTATAGGTCCCATAGCGATAATACCGAAACAGACCGACTCTTCGACAACATCCAAATGGCTACAGATTCGTTGCTACAGCAGGTCCCTTCCGCAGAGATCGTGATCCTCGACGATTTTAACGCCCACTACGCCGAATGGCTCGGTTCACGTTTAACCGATCATGCGGGGAGATCAGTTCATGATTTTGCCTTGGCATATGGTCTGAAACAATTGATCATGCACCATCGCTGTTTGCTTCTCGCCGGATGATCCCAACGTTGTTGCTGACTCTGTCGGTGATGCGGTGCTTCAGGGTATGGAACTTTTTATTCCTTCCTCTGTGGTACCCATCAGAGGCAGATATCAACCATGATTTAATCGCTCCTGTAAAATAGCATCATACTATAAGCAGGAGTGCTACCGGGCCTGGGCTGACGTATCAACGTCCCGGGATGTAAACACCAGGGCCCTAAAAAAGAAGTATAATTCAGCCTCCAGGCTCCAGGTCCTTTAAGAGTTATTTGCCTTGGGCAAAGTGCATATAGGCAGAATTGGCGAGAAAATAGTTCGCCTTCCTACTTGCTACTTGATTCTTAACTTTCTTATTTTACAAAAACACTGATACTTTAATTTTCAAAATATTTAGTCTTTTAAATTTTGACTTTAATATTTAATAAAAGTTTTGAAAATTTTCTTACGTCTTATCATTTGGAGAGGGAGGAGCTCGCAACTTTCTTAGTTTTGCTTATACAAGGAGGGAGGTCTAAAATCATAGAAAGTTTGCTTACGTAGTACTTGAACGTCTTCAAATACTTAATAATATAATATCGTAGATTCGTATACCTAGTATAAATATATATTCATCGTACTAGGCTCTTAGTACCTATTTCGAATATATTACTTATAAAAAAAAAATAGCATCTCTAGTGCTGACATTTACATTTTGACATTTGAAGCTATCCATATTTGGGTTTTTGGTGGGAACTTGGCCGACGACGGACTGTCGCTCCTGTTTTGTCGCTTGAATAATGGTTTGAAGTGGATTTTAATTCGTAAAAGTGACGTGATTTTGTGAATTAATTGTCTGCGCGTGTGAACTATTAAAGAAAACGACGAAACAAGTGCTTTGATGTCGATATAAACCTCAAGTTATTTTGATCGCTTAGGCGCCTTATGAACTTGAGTGGCTGTCGTCATCACCTGTCCGCTGGGTTGAGCTGTCGTCAAAATCTCCCAAGGGCTTCGCAATGTGACGCATCAGCATATTGTGAAGAAAAGAAAAAAAAAGCGCGGAAACCTTGAAACCGGACCTCTATATGGATTGAAAAGAGTTATTTGCCTTGGGCAAAGTGCATATAGGCAGAATTGGCGAGAAAATAGTTCACCTTCCTCTTGCTACTTGATTCTTAACTTTCTTATTTTACAAAAACACTGATATATAAAATATTTAATAATGTACCAGAGGGGTGAGAACAGACTTCCATTTGGCTTCTGTTTATATAATTTTTTTTCTTTCTCTGCCTAATTTTCGTCACTCTTTCCTCATTCATTCTTTATTCTTTTTGGTTGTAAAATATTTAGTCTTTTAAATTTTGACTTTAATATTTAATAAAGTTATAATGTTATAAAGATTATAATATAAAGAAGACTTGGCTTTAGCCTTTGTGGTTTTTGAGAATATGAAGAATATGAAGATTTTAAAGAGATGGAAAGAAGAAAAATAAGTCTTGGTCCAGCCTTTACACTTCAAAATTCTATATATTCTTTAAAAAAAAAGAAGATAAGGCTGTATGGCTTAGTTCCTTTGCCTGCTCTCTCGAGCGAATAATAAAAACCTGTCCAGTGCTGCCACTTTAGCGACTTTGTCGCTAAATGTAATGAGTTTTTTGTTAAGTTGGGGAGTTTAATTCAATGTTTAGCGACAAAAAATATTCTGGCGACTTTTAACGACATTTGCACTTACTTCAATTTTTGTTACCATCTAGAAGACTAGACAAGACCAGACTACTTGAGGCGTAAGGAATAGGATAATACTCTATCCGTTAAAGAAATAATAAAATGTCATTTTTGTAGTACAGATGATGTGGGATATATATATATATATATATATATATATATATATATATATATATATATATATATGCAATTATATTATTGATGAATATATTGTTCGATTTTATCTTTGTTTCGCGTTTTTTTAATAAAATTAAATTTAGCTACATTTGGGGACTTTTTTGGTAATAAATTCATGTATGACTAGGGACTTTTGACGGCAGTCTAGAGACCTACGGTCGTAGACAGAGAATACGGTAATTTAATGTAGCAACACTGAACCTGTCTACGCATCCAATCAATTGATTTCATTGGGTGCGTTTGGCAGAAAAAAGCGCTAGCAAGCGCTTATAAGCGCTAAAATAGTTTTCGGCCAGGACACGATTGCTACTTCAGTAGCGCTGACACAATCCGCCATTTTGCTTATTTATTTGTTTGTTTTGAAGTAGATTTTATAAGTTGTTTTGTGCAATATTAGTTTTAAGTAATATAATGACATGAATAAACATATACATGCTATTAAAAATTCATGATTGGTAAGTTTTTTTAATATGAATACTTTACAAACATATATTTAAATTAGGTTAGGTTCCCCCGGTTAAAACTAACATCGTGTCCTGGAGGAAAAAAGCTACTTACGATTTGACAGCGCTTACCGCTTACGATCGCCATTGTGCTTACAAGCGCTTGCTAGCGCTTTTTTCTGCCGAACGCACCCATTGATTTGTGTTAGTAAACATCGGTCTGCTATGTGCCCATATTTTAGATTACCTGATAGTAACGACAACCAGTTCTGTTCTGTTCACAAAGACCTTTTTTCTGTTACAGTTCCGATTCGAAACGTATAGAATTTTAACCACATATTGGTTAAAAAATGATCGGAACCTACGCATATTGCTTAAAAAAATTAGTGTTGATTTTTGGATTGATATTTATCTCATCAATTAGTGTTTTAGCAACAAATGTTTGCAATTTTAACGTGAGGATCAAGCAAACTTTGATAAATGAAGGATTTCATAGGTAGGCACTTAAATTTACAGTTCAATTTTTAATGTTATAACTTACAAAGTACCTATAAATATAAAAAAATATTTATTACATAGTTTCTGAATAAAAGTATATTTATTAATGTAAGAAGTTTTTTTTGAAATTTTAACGATTTTTTATCATATTCTTGCATTGTCATCCAACATATTTTTACTAAGAAACTATGTACCAAAGTAAAAATAAGAAAATTATATGTATAGTGGAAAATTTCAATTAAATGATTGATATACCTAAATTGATAAGTGATTGAGTAACTTTTTATATATTAAAATGTGTACAAATTCTAGTAATAAAGGAATATGTAATATGCATTGTTAATTTTAATCTTTTAAACATTGTGAAAACAACTTGTAATAGTTTTGTAAATGTCAAATGTAAAAAATTTATTATCATCAATATTAGCTCTCAAAAAGTACAATAAAGGACTTGGGTCATTTTTGTAGTACAGATGATGGGGGATATACCATGTATCTCACACCTTGATCCTGACACACCTCTCGCACTCTCCTCCACATCCATATACCTAACAGCTTTGTACTGCTGGTGGCACTTGTTTTAAATATTTATGTTTCTCATGACCTTTGATTATGTTTAAAGAGGTTTTAGTTACAGTTATTTAAAGCCTAAGATTTTCCATAAGTAGAAACAATAACCATAACATATAAATGTTTATTTTATTTTGTACAGCTCTTTGTTTCTAAGGGATCTTGATAAAGTGTACTTACTGATGATAAATTTTATTTTATGAATGAAATATCGTACGTTTTTATTTTATTTTTATGTCCTTACAATCAATACAACATATTCTTCCTAAATGAACCGAAATTATGCATGTAATAATTATAATAATTCTACTTTTTCACTTGCAAACATTTGCTAAAAATTCGACAATAGACAGTTTGCGCGCGCTTACTAAACTCATTTTCAAAACCTTTTTGTGTATATATTTTATATCGTCTTCCTTTATTTTTCTTATACAATCATATAGGTATAATTGCATTTAGCAATTACTAGTAAAAGTATTTACTATGGTATTCCAATAAGAAATATACTATAATTATCTTATTAGAATCTTATTAGAAATCTTGACCGTTACGAATTGTTCACGTAGAGGTTTTTTATTTCTACTTTTTTATCAATTGAAACATAAAAAGTTACTGTTGTTGTAACTTAAATCATTCAAAAACATTACGTAGTAAAGATAAATAACATTACTTACAGTTTTTTTGAAAGAAAATCCAACTAAAATCACAATCACAAAACTTCAACAATTACGCAACCAACCACACCGGCACGCAAAAGCGAATGGCTGTTATATTTGATGATGTCTATGTACCCGAGTGAATATAATGCTACAGAATATTCTTTAGTTCGTTCAGAATTGAATGAAATAGTGTTCAATCGAAAATATACTGTATTTTTATATCAATTAATGACGAACCTTTTCCGACTCTGCTGTTCACTTCTGCAACATAAATTTGCTTTGTCACACTTTCCTCATTCATTTTTTCCACATGACCAAACCACTGAAGCATTCCTTTCTTAATCCTAGTCAGAACATTATCTTGCAAACCACACTCTTCTCTTATCTCATAATTTCTCACCATGTCGCTCAGATTCAGCCTTAACATACTCCTTAATGGCCGCATTGGTACTGCGTTTATTCTACTCTTGTGCTTCTTCTGCCACACCTTACTTTCACTATCATATGTTAATGTAAGGACCAACATAGCATTGTGAATTGCCATAATACATGCATTTTTTGACACATTGGCTTTTCACAATAGAGTCTAGGGCCACATTTACTCTATTTACTGCATTCACTCATCATTTTATATCCTTATCATATCTCCCATCCTTGCTAAATATGCATCCCAAATATACAAATTCACAATAGAGTCTAGGGCCCCATTTACTCTATTTACTGCATTCACTCATTGTTCTATATCCTTATCATATCTCCCATCCTTGCTAAATATGCATCCCAAATATACAAATTCACAATAGAGTCTAGGACCCCATTTACTCTATTTACTGCATTCACTCATTGTTCTATATCCTTATCATATCTCCCATCCTTGCTAAATACGCATCCCAAATATACAAATTCATCACTTGCTCTATCAACACCCCTTCTATTTGTATTTCACATATTGTTTTACTTTCTTCTCTTTCAATAACCATAACTTTCGTCTCACTTGCGTTCACTTTCATGCCCCTTTCTCTAAAAATAATAATAGTATAAAGAGTTATCTTATTTGATTTACTGCAAAGCCCATGGAATTAATTATACTGATATTGGGAGATTAAATAGAACAATACTGAAAAGAAAATTCTTCAACTAAACAAATATAGTGTGACCATGTCAGCATCTTTAAATATAAATAAATATAAAAAATGCTGTTGCCAAACCATCCGCCAAGCGCTGCAAATAAGGCAAAGAACTATCTATATATGGGGAATAGCCATACTCACAGAATATCGGCATAAAATAGCAGTTTAACATTGCTATCTTTTATATTTTGAGTGTAGGGAACTGGGGACTCTTTTTACTGGAAACAAAGCATACCATCTTTGTCCCTAAATGTCCCCAACACATCTGAGTTTGAACTCTGTTATGTTTTTTTAAATTTTTACTTAATTCACAGCACTTACCATCAGTTATACACAGTACTGTGTGCTCGGTTTTCACCCTTATTTCATTAAAGAGTTACCGCTACCAACATGTGGTTACCACAGGGTTGTAGTCAAACATTGGCTTGTGTAAAAAATCCTCTAAATGGAAATCTATGGTAGAGGCATATGTCTAACAGAGGACTTTTGATAGGCTGTAATTATATGATGAATGCAAGCATATATAGACTCCTAGTATGCACTAAACAAGGATAATCAGTTATCAGTAATATTAATAAGAATATATAATGTGTTTCAGAAACATCACATATGGCATTATATTTAACACTAAGAATGACGATGAGAGGTGGCTGTATGCAGATTGTGTTGTTGGTTTAGAACAAGTACTGCCATCTGGTGTATTTACTAACCCAGATGAATTAAGTGACTTACGACGAAGCAAAAAGGTATTACTTGACTTTTAAAAAATATACCTATTGTTTTAGTATGTAGTAGTTGAATTAAAAGAAATACAAAACATTTAGCATCATGATATCATAGTTAACCCTTCGGAAGTTAAAATTAAAAGCTATTAAAATCTGTAATATTAGTAAAAGTAGTTTCAAGCAATAAACCTTAAAAAATACATGTTCTCTAATTATGTTCTTGATCTATAGGGCATGGTTGTTTTTGAATATGGTTTTTGTCCAGTTTAGAGCATATTTTAGCAGCATTAGGTCTGCTAGAAATCGAATTTAGTGTGCTTTTGGTTCATACTATCTAAAATGATATTTAAACTCAAACATTAGATTTGAAGTTTTCAATTTGAGTTCATTATTAGTTTTGCTAACCCATTTCATTTTTAATCATATGTAACACTACTTACATATGCGCATAACCAATTCCTATGAGATTTTTTATCATGAAGGACAGGTTTTTAATGGACACGATTTGAAATGTGATAGCATAAGAGAAATCATAACCAATCTCATCCTATATATGTTGTATAAGACCTGACTAAAGGAAAGACCCATGAAATCTGATGGCTGACGGTAAACTGCCGTATAACTATCTGATATTTATCTTCATCACTATCACCACACTCAATCTAAGTTATCCCCTATAAGGGAGATATTTGCCATAGCTGCCATGCTTGGCAGGTAGTTCGACAATTGCTGCTGCCCATCTTCTGGTTTGTTATCGTCTGTCGCTGCTTATGACACCCGTGGGACGATAAAGGTTGAAAATATTCTTATATACCACCATTGCATGGTCAATCTTATGTTCATCAAATATTTAAATTCTCTTAGCCAGAGATGGGAAGTGGCATCAAGAGTGCCAAACGTCTGACACAGCGATTGCCAATCTGTTTACGAAGCTTGAATACGACAGATACATATAATTTGTGCCTATTTTTTATTTATTTATTTAAGGACCAGTAAACAACTTCAACAGAGGCTTAATAACTAATCTTAATCCTAAAATTTAAATGTAGTGAAGCCAACACCACCAACTTCAGATAATAATTTATAGGATAAATTACAAAAGTTAGAGATGTAAAGGAGGATTTATTACATAATATGCAATATTACAAAATGACATTAACTGTAATTACTTAAACAGATCAGCAATATTGAACTATTTAAAAACACTACAATCTAGTACAAACAACTAAACAAAAAAAAACTATTCACATTTTAGTTTTGATTTCAAACTATATAAAAGTAAAAAAGTAAAATAAATCAAAACATAATTTAAATTATATAATATAAATATAATTTAAATTATGTTTTGATTTATTTTATTTAGTTTTTAGTTAACACAACTAAGCTTATTAATCAGTTTGCTTCTATAGGAGTTAGCACGGTTATTAAAAATGTCAATGTCCCAAAAGTGATCATTATAATTTTGCATTAAGCGATACAATGGCGCTCTTTTGCCAGCATTGGTTCTACACAAGGGAAGGGCAAATGTTTGACGTGAGCATGTTGATCTTACATGTGATCGAGTAGGTAGTAGGTAGAATATTCATATAATAACAGGCTGTGAGACATTCTATAGTCCTCAGAGGTGACAACACATCCGTATCCTGTGTTTGTAGTTGATGTCAGTTGCATGGATTGGAGTAGCCATATACCGTCAAGTGGACTGTGACTTGGTTCGTCATCTTACTTTTAGTAAAACTAATACTCACGATTGGTTCTAGAACTAATTGTTTTATTGCCTATCAGAGGACTTAGACCTATAACTCTGCTCCCCATTGTCTTTACATGTGGTGTAGAAAAAATTAAACTGCCATATATCACAATTTTATATTGTATATTTTCAGTTAAATGCATTTCCAAAAAATCGTGTGAATGTGGAACTGCCAGCAGAACAGTCCAGCCCTAACAGGGTGTATATAACTGGAAAGGTCTTAGATGGAAAAATCAACCTTTGGTTGCCAGTTCATGCAAGATATCATCAAGCTGTTTCTGGTGGAGGGTAAAGTAATATACTAAAAATCGACATTATTTAAGTTGACATAAAGAGTATATTTTCTCTAGGATATTGAATAATTCATATATGCAAATATAATCTATATTTTGCAATAGACAAATCAAACTCTATTAATACATTACAAAATATGCTTCAATGTCTTATTAGATCGGAACCGTAGCTTACTTATATTTTTTTATAGAATAGGGGTGACAACAAGCACACAGTCGACCTGACATTTATCCTCGACTAAGAATACAAATGCGGTTGTGTGGTCACCCCTGAATATTATAATGGAATGCCTCATTTCCAGTAAAAAGGGTCTCCGGTTCTCTACACTCATCATACAAAATACACCAGTATTATGATGCTATTTTATGCTGGTATTCTGTGAGAGTGTGGTCCTGGTTGAGCCAATCCATTCGTGCTACAACCAAAATATAACTGCAGTGTGGCTCTACCACGTAAAAGAAATATTTTATTTTAAATTTAAGATAAGACAGAACAATGAATGAGAGATAATTTTAAATTCCTATTTGTATTTTTCCTGTTTTGAATTATAATCTTAATATATATAAATTACGTGTCACGTTTTTTGTCCGCGATGAACTCTTAAACTACTAAACCGATTTTAATTAAATTTACACACTGTGTGCAGTTTGGTTTTGCCCATGAGTGACCCACAATTACTAAGACGACTCCGTGGCGTAGTGGCTTAGCAATGAGTTACAGCGCTGGAGGTCGCGGGTTCGAATCCCGCACGGATTTGTACGGCCTACAAGTAATTGTTCCGGGTCTGGATGTGTGTGCTTGTGCAATTTATATATGTTTGTAAACTGTCCCCACGATACAGGAGAAAATCCTAGTGTAGAGGTAAAATTTCTTAAAATAAGAAAAAGAGAATTATTTTTTTTGCGAAAATAAGGATTTTTAATAGGGCATGACAAAGTGTCGTCGAAAAGGGCAGAACAACGTCTGCCTGGCAAGCTAGTTATTTATAAATTTCTATCAGTGTAATCCATCAACTTGGCTAAGTCTATTAGTCAATGTACTCAATTTTAAAGTTTTACTGCTTGTAATAAAAAAATAAAAAATTTTGTTATTAATTTTTATATTTATAATTAACCACAATCTACCTTTATTATTTTAGAACTGCAAGGAACGAGATTGAAGCCCCAACACTGTTCCTTCACTGTCCGGATGAAAGGCTAGAGGTATGCGGTGCAAAGAATGCACAAGCTGTATTTTCATGCAACGGCAGTTCAAAAGAGAAATGCAAATGGAAAGAAATACCGTATACAATGGTAATATAAATAACTTAAAATAAAAACATCTGAAGTGTAATAATATTAGCCCATAGTAAATTTTTACTGACATCAAGCCCAGTGGCAAAGTCCCAAGATATGGTTTTGTTGTTTTTAGCAGTTTTATAAAAATACACCAATCTTGAGTCTTCTGTTTCATATTCAGTGCTGACAAGGACGTGTTTAACTAAGCACACAGAAAACATACTACCGCTAGATAGATTGTATGACATGCAATTGCATATCATCGGTGGCTTTGAAAAGAGCCGTTTGGGTTTGCTTGAGCGAAAGAAAAAGATATTTACATACAATACAATACATGAACAAAGGAAAAGCATGAACAAAGTACAAACAACTGTACAAAATTAAAAAAGGGACGCCTGGCAGATGTGAAACATGGACATTATTTTGTTTATGTTATATAACAAAAATAACATCAGCAGTATAGAAGAACAGATGTTTGTTTTAGTACGACAGGAATTAGATAGTTATAATGAGAAGATAAAGCGTTGCTAATTTTTTTACCATAAAATAATGACTATTTATTATATACTTAATTATTCATTTTCAATTTTAATAAACCGTACAAAATTATATTTTTAACTCTTAAGGTAATATAAATATTAAATTAGCCGATAGTGTGTTTGTGCCATCTAACGAAACCTCTCCTGCCCTTTGAAAAGCTAGCTTAAACATCTTTGCAAAATGTATACCGAACAAGCAAACAGAAGAATGTGAAATATGTGGTAATAATAGTCAGACTGGCCTTGGCAGACTAGGGTCGAGGTGTTGTGAAGAATAGTATTATTGGTAAAAGTAAAATTATAATGTCCTCCAGACCGAATTTCGGTCTCGCCAGTGATGCTCAAACTGTTTAGTGACGGTGTCAGAATAACCACTACTCTGTATCGTACCATGGATGTCGGAAGAGGTGACAGAGGGAAACTAAAACAGGTGAGGAGCACCGCATCTTCCCGATAATAGCTTATAATAATAAAAAACTGAAGTTGCCAACCCACCTGCCAAACGTGATAACTATGACAAAATACCCCCTATGAGGAAATCTATGGAGAAGCCATCGATAGAAATGACAAGATATGGCCGTGCGAACAATAATAGTTTACGATTTAGGCATAGAATAAATCAGCGCCATCTCTTAAATTCTAATGAACGACCACGGAACCAGTGTTTGCACTTATGATTTTGGTTTTACCCTAGCACCTGTAGAAATACTCCCTAAATTATCATAAACAAATCAAAAAAGCCTTATTTATCTATCGCACCTAATTTTCAATATTTTAAAGAACAACATTTCGCGATTAAAAATATTGAGTTTTGTGATGAAGGCGTTCTCATTTTCAAATTGTAATAGTCTACAAACCAAGTCTAGTAACTTAGTCTCATATGAACAACGAATATGTAACTAAGCAAATTGTTTATACCATTATTGCGATATACAGAATGAAAAACTTTTTCATTCTACACATTTCTAACTCTTGACACTATCCACTTCATAAATCTTTAAAAAAATACTTTGGGTGGGTATAAAAAACAAGGTTAGCTGAAGTTCGGTTTTACCCCAAATTATCCAAAACCCTGTCAACTTGAAGAAACGCTTAAAGCCCTACTTATACATATTAGTAAATTTACCCTAAAATAGTGCAAAATATCTAAAAGTGGAAACACAGCACGGACGTACGGCACGCATTAGCGATCGCGTTGGTGCGCCATAAACATTTTCGCACCAAGGAGTCGGTGCCATATTGTTTGTTCAATGACTCGGTCCATACGCAGTAGTATAATAAGTCTATGGGAGAAGCCTATGTAATGTATAACCAGACTCAACAGAGGCTTTCTAAGCTGGACAGGATTATAGTACATGAGTGCACAAAGGTGCACTCTCTATTCCATCACTCACACCTCTGTATTCACTTACTCTCATAGTCTGATGATGTTTCATAATTCAAAATGTTATATGAGTTAGATTTCATCAATGTTTTTAATTATGTATCTTATATTTCAGATGACTGAAACGCTTATTTGGGACGTTCCTGTTGGTAATACGGATCATTATTACTTGGTAGCTACAGGCACAGCCACAGTCATAGTGGTAGGCTCACTATATCTATTGAAGGCTATACACGAATACCAAGTTAGTCATCGCAAGAAGAAATTGTGAGATAGGGTTCTACAAGGAATAAATAAGGACAAGGGAGATAGATATATAAAGTAAAGAGAAACAGAAAGATACATAGGACTGCGTGTAAGCATGTTCTTATTGGGTGTTGTATGTGAATAAAACATTGTGATGTTACCAAGTTCAGTATTACGTCATCTTATTTCATTTATACTCCAGCTATTACTCCTAATAAGCTAATAATAGCCTCAGCCAAAATGTTAAAGTGTTAGCGAAAAAGGCCTCCCTTTATCGATCTAATAGCAGCTTTTCAATTTCATATTCTAATAATCCTAACTCAAACATAACGAGTGTGTATATTTTTGAATTGAAAAAAAAAAAAAACTTTTTTTTTCTTCGGTGACCCAGACTGTAAGACAATACCCGGATGTAATTTTGCCAATGTTAACTAATAGGAAATTATCCTTTATTGTATTATTTGTATGTTGATGCATCACATAACGGAGTTTTAGAAAAATTATGACGACAACTTAAGCCAGCAAGTAGACAGTGGCAAGTATCGCAAATTCATAAGGCACCCAAAAAGATAAAATTACTTGAGGTTTATACTAATATTTTACACCTATATTTAATCAATAAACAGGAGCAGCCATCGGCTAAATTTCCGCCATAAATCCAATATGTTTTTTTTTTAAATAGTATAAGGTAAAAACATGCACACCGTCCACCTGATGGTAAGTGAATGCTGTGGTCGATAGACACCTATATCTATTCTCGAATAAGAATCACAATGCAGATGCGTTATACCTCCTGAGTACTAAGATAGAAAGCCTCGTCTTCGGGTCTCTACGCTCACCATAAAAACACAGTAACATTAAGTAGTATATTAAGCTTGGTCCGTCACCGGTCGAGCCAACCCATTCATGCTGCAGCCATGAAATAGGTGCAGCATGGCTCTGCCACGTACAAATGTTATGTATGTTATATAAATTATAATTATTTAAATAAAAACATTATACGACATTTTTAAAACTGTAAAAAGAATAAAGTCATTTCCTCTAGCCCCATACAGACTAATAACCATTTAAAGATATAATGGAGCGAAATATAATATCTATACCTATGTGTCGTGTTGGCGAATCGCAAAGGTTTTCTGCCACCAGGCGGCGCCACTTACAGGTGAAATGTTTGATAGCTTTCATAGCAGGTATGGAGTGTAGAAGTAAGGAGTACCAACTCCCATAGGAGAATAGTTGAAAAAGTGGCCATCTGTAAGCAGTAAATAACAGTTCAAAAACTCTCCACAACAGGGCTCGAGTAGCTACGGGGTATGTTAAATCGCCGTAAAATAGGTTGAGAGTGATTTTAAAAATAAAAATTTTGAAAGCAATAAAATAATTATTGTAAAAAGAATTATGGTGAAAGTTTGTGCAATAAAAAAATAAAAAAATTTCTTTAAAATTTAGACTGTAGCTACAGTGGCGACCATGGTAACGGCGGGGCAGGGGGTGCTAAGAATCTCTGGTGGAGGTTCGGTTGCCATCTACGACGACTCGACCTGGCAACATATAACGCACGCACCCTGAGGACTGACGAGAAGATACTGGAGCTGGAAGAAAAGGTAGACAAGTTACGCTGGCATATTATTGGATTATCCGAGGTCTGAAGAGAGGGGGGAGGACCACGGTAATTCTCGAGTCCGGCAACTTGTTCTATCACCGGGAGGGCGACCATCTGTCCCAAGGAGGTGTCGGATTTATCGTCCACAAGTCGCTCGTCAACAACATTGTAAAGATTGGGAGTGTGTCCACGAGGGTCGCGTACCTGATACTCAGAATCACCAAACGGTATTCGCTGAAGGTCATACAGGTTTACGCACCAACCTCGGCACATTCCGATGAGGAGGTGGAGTAAATGTATGAGTATATTTCCAGAGCCATGCATTTCTCCAAAACCCACGGTGTTCATGGGAGACTTCAACGCAAAACTGGGCACAAGAGAAAGCGGTGAGCTGAAGTTAGGGAAATTTGGAGTAGGGCAACGAAACCGTAGGGGCCACCGGCTGGCCGACTTTATGGAGAAAGAGAGACTCTTTATGATGAACTCTTTCTTCCAGAAGCGGCCCCACAGGAAGTGGACCTGGTCGAGCCCCGACGGTTCGACAAAAAATGAGATTGACTTCATTATGACGACCAGACGCCAACTGTTCAGTGATGTCTCAGTGATCGCAAGTGTGAAAACTGGCAGCGATCACCGAATGGTCAGAGGCACACTGAACCTAAACGTTAAGTTGGAGAGGTCTCGTCTAATGAAGTCAACGCTCCGTCCCCCTCGTGCTCTAATCCAGAATCCCGAAACCTTTCAGCTCGAGTTACGGAACCGCTTTCAGTGCCTAGAAGATTGTAATGACGTGGACGATACGAATGACAAGCTCGTGGAAACTGTCCATGCGGTCGGAGCTAAGTTCTGCAAGACCCGCCGCAGAAGAACACAAAAACTCTCCGATCACACTCTTAATCTCATGGTTGTTAGACGGGAGATGAGGCTGCAATCGTCAACAGATTTGATAGCATACAGGCAACTGAACAGACAGATCTCCAATGCATGCGGCGAGACTAACGCAACTTTAATACTGTTCGTATTAAAGAAGCAATCGAGCGGAACCAGGGCTCCAAAGTCTTTGCCAGAGATCTGTCTGCCAGTAAGAGCCCACTGTCAAAGCTGAAGACTGAGTGTGGCAGCATCAGCAGCATCCGGGACATCTGAGATTCTGAGTGAGATTAAGAGGTTCTATGGACAGCTGTACACATCATCGTTGGAGCCACACGCAAGTGTGAGTAACGATCCAAAAGCAAGTCTTATCCGACACTATTCCGATGATATCCCGAACGTCAGTCTGAGTGAGATAAGAATAGCTCTCCAGCTCCTTAAAAACGGCAAATCTCTGGGCGAGGATGAAATATCGGCGGAGCTTCTGAAAGCGCATGGAAAAACGGTACTTGAAGTCTTTCAGAGGCTCTTTAATTTCGTCCTTCATGGTGGCACTACTCCGGAGGCGTGGAGCAGAATTACGATGGTCTTGTTCTTCAATAAAGGTGACAAGCCCTCTTGAAGAACTACAGACCGATATCCCTTCTGAACCGCGTCTACGTGCTGTTTTCGAGAGTCATTACGAATCGTCTCACACGTAGACTCGACGACTTCCAGCCTCCCGAACAAGCCGGTTTCCGAAAAGGCTTTAGTACATACCCTTCTGCAAATTGTACAGAAGTCCGAAGAGTACAATCAGCCACTTTGCCTGGCGTATGTGGACTATGAGAAAGCCTTTGATTCCGTCGAAATTTGGGCGGTGCTACAGTCTCTTCAGCGGTGTCAAGTTGACTGTCGGTATATCGAAGTGCTGAAGTGTTTGTACAGTAGGGCTACGATGGCTATCCGAGTACAGAACCAGAGTAAGAAACCCATCCAACAGCAGAGAGGTGTAAGACAGGGTGACGTTATTTCCCCGAAACTCTTCACCGCTGCATTGGAAGACGTTTTCAAGCTGCTGGACTGGAAAGAATACGGTATTAACATCAATGGCGAGTACATCACTCACCTTCGATTTGCCGAACGATATAGTCCTTATGGCAGAATCTCTGGAGGACTTAAGCACTATGCTCAACGACCTCAATAGTGCCTCCCAACGGATAGGTCTTAAGATGAACATAGACAAAACGAAGATGGTGTTTAATGTCCAAGTCACACCTATGCCGGTAGTTGTTGGGAGCACTAAGCTCGAAGTTGTTGACGAGTTCGTTTACCTGGGACAAATAGTCCGACTAGGTAAGTCCAACTTCGACCGAGAGGTCAATCGACGGATTCTACTCGGCTGGGCAGCGTTCGGAAAGTTACGACGCATCTTCTCGTCAGATATACCTCAAAATCTGAAAACTAAGTTGTACAACCAGTGCGTGTTGCCAGTGATGACCTACGGAACCGAGACGTGGTCCTTCACTGCTGGCGGTATGAGGACGCTCAAAGTCGCTCAGCGAGCTATGGAGAGGACTATGCTCGGAGTTTCTCTGCGTGACAAACTTAGAAATGAGGATATCCGCAGTAGAATCAGAGTGACCGACATAGCCCAAGGATTAGTAAGCTAAAGTGGCAATGGGCCGGCCATATAGCTCGAAGAATCGACAACCGTTGGGGAAGAAAGGTTCTCGAGTGGCAGCCTCGTACCAGTAGGCGAAGTGTAGGGCGACCCCCCACTAGATGGAGTGACGACCTGATAAGACGTGCAGGAAGTCGATGGATGAAGGTGGCTCAGGACCGTGCTTTGTGGCATACCTTGGAGGAGGCCTATGTTCAGCAGTGGACTTGTGTCGCCACCCTATTTAATGCTTTCCTACGGACACTTTTTTATACAGAGTCTGTGTACTCTACCTCTACACTCCATAATGGCAGGGCAAGGTAAATTGTTGACTTGAAATTTAAAAATATAAGGTTTAATTTTTCTTTCTGAAATATTATATCTTATATTAATTAGATTAGAAATTTAGAATTGTTTTGTGTACGCACGCTCTAGAAACTGATAAAACAAAATTAACCGAATCACTTGTCCTTGAGTGAGTGTTAAAACAACCTAGTGTAACAAATAACTTTACCTTACTCCCAAATTAGCGACATCTGGTGAGGGTAAAATTATTAGCTGTCGTTGCACATGGCTGGCCAGTGTATAACAAAATAATATTCCATGTTTATGTACATATAATCTTGTTCCATGCGGTAATAGAACCAGCGCAGCGGCCGAAAGATTTGGAACCAAGCTCTTAGTTAGCATTGAAAGTAAAAAGTACTCTAGCTTTCAATTTTGGTAATAGCACATTATTGTATTTTATTCTTTGAATGTGACTGAAACTTGGCATACAATTCAACATCCCCATTTACCGTCCCACTATGCTGTAGATGTAATTAATGCATTTCAATAGTTTTTTTTTATAGAATAAGGGTGACAAACAGTTCACGTGATAGTAAATGGATGCTGTGGCCCATAGACATCTACATTTATCCTCGATTAAGAATCAAAACGCCTGTTGTGTTGTCACTCCTTAGAACTAAGATAGAATGTCTCGTTTCCAGTAAATAGGGTCTCCGGATCTCTACACTCACCATACGAAACACAGCAGTATTAAGCTGCTATTATACGCTGTTAACCATATCTCTGTGATAGGTAGAATCCACCCCGAATGGGTTCCCGCTATGTCTGACAAGTGGGGTTGGATTTAGCAGCCGTGGTATAGTCAGCACGTTGAACTAAGAGGAACCCTCATGGCTGGCCCGATGTGGTCACTCCAAGTGAGCTTGGTGAGCCTACTTCCGATGTGTTTTAGCAGACTGCGGCGAAAGGGATGTTCTCACCACCTACCGCCGCAGATGAGGTGGAATCGCGAAGGAATAGGAGTATATTGGTATGGCGATAGGCCACTCGCAATATTCCATGGCTAGGAATTTCTCCGTGAAAAAGAAAGTATGTAGAATCCATCACTCCATTGCGTCTCGTGGATGTTGTACAATAATATTTCCCTTTGGTGTTTGTAAGTCGCGACTATAGGATTCCTTCTATAGAAAGTTCTTATCTCTTCCGATAGATGGCGGTTATAACCATTTCGTATATACCATAACTTCTGAGTTTACACGCTCAGTAAACGTATTTAATAATTAATAACTAACTTTATAATAGACGTAAAATACCCAGACCGCTGAAGCTACGAACAGCAAAACTATTACTCCTGGCGGAGCACAGCAACGTCAAAATTGCGAGACTGCGATCCTCAATCCGTCTTGAGAGATGATAATTTCATCTCAGCAGATGTCGCTAGTTATAACAGGTTTTGTTACATTGTGTGACCATATGGTGAAAAGTTGCGATACAAATAAAAAAATCGGATTCTAGTATATTATATGTAGTATGTACATTACCTATATACACAAAACAATGTCTCAGTAGTTGCTCTTTGCACTTTAAACTCTTTCCTTTTACGAATATTGTACAAAAATGTTCATTTTGTTACTCATGTTATTTAAAATGTTACCTAGGCTACCTACGATTGTATTCTTCATGTTTACGACACAATGTATATTTTAATAGGTCAGAAATAAAAAAAAATGATCCGTAGTTTGGTTTATTCGTTTTAAATCTATACAATATGAAATATAACTAATATTTCTGAAAGAAACATTGCTTACTATATATTTTCGTAACAATTTAACTAAGTTTCCGTGCAATCTTTTGTGGCCTGTGTGGAATATGGAATGTAAAGGTATAAGGAATCTACTTTTACGGGAATTGTATTATAATGAGCGTCCTCTAGTGAAAATAAAGAGAAATACTACAAGTATGGTCGTCTTTGGTTAAGAATGTCTCAAACCTTTTTTGTCAGTCACAAAATTTAAAAATATTTTAAAGTACTCATATTATAAATTTAAAGACTAAAATTTATCTACTTAAATATCAATAAATTATTTAATTTTACCTATGTAAAAAATATTATTGGTATGTAGAACAGTGTCATCTACACGTACTTCAATGAACCAATAGGATATGCGTTTCGCTCAGTAATTTCAAAACTGACTGGATTTTTTTGATTTCAATAAATTTACGTTTACTTTGCATAAAACAATATTTATAATTTCTTAAATACGGCGAAAGAGTTTTATGGGTATGTACAGTATATCTTGATAATTACTGCCTAATATTGGTACATAATTTATCAACAATACCAAATGTTGATCGAAGCTATTTGATATCATTAGTAAAAAAATATACTTAACAAATTCTCTATTTTATGAGCTCAAATGACTCATCTTCACAATGTTATTTAGTGTCAGAAAAGGAAATGACAAAATCTGGACCCGATACCCCATAGGTGGCACTGTGGTCGCGTAAATAATAAGTATTGATGACAGTATTGTTCCATTTACATAAATAAAATCCGCCTAACTGTAGTATGATACGCATTGTTTGTGTGAAATATGCTGAACCACAAAGCGCAGACAGGGTTCGCGTGACGCTACGAGAGTTACGAGGGTGACAGCTTTTGTGTCTGAACCAATTAAGACCGCTTGTAGTTTCATGTAAATAACTTTTAGAAACGTGTAAATATGTATTACAGGAATTGGAAAAAAATACGATATAAAAGTTCGATGCGTAGCTTGTAATACGTCATCGGTGTTTGAGAGTTTTCGAATGCGAATGGAGGCAATATTTTCCGGCCGGGCTCACGCTCGCAGTCGGGGGCGTGCCGGCGCGCACAGATATGGATTTAAGATTAACGAGGGCACGGTGGAGCGTGCGGGACGTGGGGGGCGCGGGCGCGGTGTTTACATGCGGGTGCAGGCGGCGTGCAGCGGGCGGCGCGGATCGATGCTGGGCGGGGCGCGGCGGGGGGGCGCGCGGGGTTGGGCGCGGGGCGGGGCGAGCCGCCGGCCGCCAGTCCGCCTCGGGGCCGCGTCCGCGCGGTCGTCGACAGAGTGTGGTCGTGCGGCGGCCGGAGTGTCTCCGCGGGCGCCCGGCGGCGGCGGCGAGCCTCGCGCCGCCCGCCTCGATGCCGCGCGCAGCCGCAGCGCCCCCCGCGCCGCGCCTCCTGCCCCGCGGCTTCGCGCCGCGCGCGCAACTGCAGCGCCAGCGCCGCCGACCCGTGTCCCGTGCGCCGCCCACCCGTCCCGCGCCTGCGACCCGTCTTCCTCTGGGCGCGCCAGCTTGACGGCACCGTGCAGGAAGTCCGCTGCGAGGACTACGACCCACGCAACCGCATCCGAATAGCGCGCACCGCCACGGGCTGGCGCGTGATTCCGCGCACCGAGATCTATAACTCGATCCGCGTGCCGACGCCACCCCCGCCCCCGCCTCCACCCCCGGTGCGAGAACGACGTGAGCGGCGCGGGCGCCGACGCTACGCCCGCTCGCGGCGGCGGCATAGCTCGCCACACTCCGCGACGCCGTGGCAGCTGCCGCCCGACCTGGAGTCGCACATTCCCTCGCACACGATCGCGGTGCCCCGCGCACCTCCGCCCACTCCGCTCGACAACCTCCTCGCGGTCGCCGAGCTGGAGTTCAACCAGCAGCGCGAAGAGCGGCTGCTCGAGCTCGACGGATTCCTGCCCCCCGAGGAAGTGGCCGGGACGTCATGTCCTTCGAGCTCAGCGAGCCGAAACCGTCCGATGAGATGTTCTACGAGCGCAAAGCGCCGGTGTCGGGTGAACGCACGGATGATACGTTCCCCAACGATATCGTCGCACATAAAGACCTATTTGAGACCATCAGCGAGGCACATTACCTGCCGGAACTAGGCGGGCCGCACGACGAGGCCCTGCTCGAATCGCTCGTTGAAAAAGGTTGCGAGGATAATCAGATCCTCGGACAAGCACTGGATAAATTGGCACACCTCGTGCACGGCTCGGGTGATTACGCTGACGAAGAGGAAGACATGTTGCTCAGTGGTGCGCCGGTTGCCGACATTATTGACAGACTTGAACACTCGCTCGAATCGCCGGGCCGTAGCAGTATTACCGCGGCACAAGGATTACTACATTTGCACCATATAGGTGACCACATACCGACTACTGAACACCGGCAAGCTGTCGAGCAATCGTTTATACCAAATGAGGTTTTTACCTCTAATGAGCCTGCAGAATGCTCCATCGAGTCGCTTAATGCTAGTCAGCTTAGCGCGAGTTCTGATATACAAGAACCAAATGGAATGAACCATTTGGAATTTGATAGTAATGCCGAGAAGAGGCTAGAGAATGAGGTCGTTTCAACCGACGTGATGTATACTGACCCTGTACCTGATTCCAATGAGACTTACGTTGAGAAAATGTTTGAAGAACAGCAGCCGCAATCACATCCTGATCAGAGTGAGATGGCTGTAGCAAGTGAGATGGCTGAAGCAAGTGGGATGGCTGATGTAAGTGAGATGCCTAGTGACAATACTGACACGGAAATTGCTGAGCAGGTGGAAGAGGAAAAGTGCATATCCGACGACCAAATGAACAATGAAGACACAGAGGCTACAGCACCGGACGACAACGCAAGCGAATGCATTAAAGAGATGGAGGAAATATCAAATAATGACGAAATGATGCCCACTGATTTAAGCATAAGGAGCGTTGACAAAAAAATGAGCTCTATTGTGGTCGCCAGTGCCGCTGAGACAACAAACACGATGGAGGATAACATGTCAGAGAAAAGCGATGAGCAACCAAAGGATTTAAGTGTGCATAGAAGGATGCCCACTCCGCATGCGTCACCGAGAAGGATAGACATACCCAGAGCGCCGTCGAGAGAGTCGGATGCAATGCAATCGCCGCAACCGAGCGGAATACCAGCTATACCGTCTTCACCGGAAATATTTACTATGCCTTTGACAAAAAGTAAACAAACATTATTTTTGGAAACACTACTTTCGTCACCGTCGCCTAAAATGTATACTTCGGAGGTTACGATCACAAAACAGCAATGCGAGCCGTTGAACTTAGGCAAACACAGAAAGTCGGCCAGCCCAACAGTTTCCAGCTGTACCGACGAAGTGCGAAAATTAAATAAAGAATTTGGCGAACCTCAAGAGAAAAGAATAAAGAAGGAATCGCATGAGGATTTAGCTAAGATAACTAAGGTGTTCAATAAATGTAGTGATGACCAAATACCCGATGCTAAAGCGAAAAAATCCGATAGGGGTGCCCAAAAAACAATCGAGGAGACGTGTCCTTTAAAGCAGTTGCACAATTTGAAGACCAGCCCCGATTTTAATCTACCAGATCCCTTATTAGTTCCAAAAGATAAATTAAATGATATTCTCGCTGCTCCCGGTGTAGAAATACCCGCGCTTCTATTGAATAGACCTGAATTAAGGCTGCCAGAGGCATTCGCCTTCCCGGCCGTTTTGCAAGATCCAGACATACTCGTTGTATCACTGTCGCAGTTAGAGACTATTTTAGAAAACGAGCAGAAAAAGCTGCCTTCCCCAAAGCCGAAAGAAGCGAGACCAGTCACGGCAAAGAGTTCATCGACCGTTAATAGTTCAAGTACGGAAAAATCTAACACGCCCCAACCTGATCAAACAAATCAACCTAAACCAATACCTTCCATGGATGCCTTAGCTGGCGATATAGACGCCGCTACGTCGGCGGCTCTCAATCAAATGCTGTGGCTGCCGTACCTTAGCCAACTGGAGGCTATGGCCGCGTGTTCGCAAAACATGGATTTCCTCAAAGCTTTAAATTCCTCCGGATATCAAGGACCAAATTATCCCGATCTATCGCAAATGTTTAACCCGTCTGCACGATTTATGGGCCCGACCGGCTTCCCTATGATGCCCCAAATGGATTATGATAACCGATTGCAATTCGCTATGTGGCAGGAAGCAATGAATCAAGCGAACTCATCTGTTCCTCACAGATCAAAGCCTATAGAAGCTCAGATGAAGGAAATGTCTAAAACAAGCGACGTCCAAAATCCGTACGTTCATTCGACGAAGAACCATCCAAACAAAACGCATTCATCCGCTCGCACGAGTCCAATCGCTCATAATTACAGCAATCAACGTTCCGTGGCTCACAATCCGTTCCTCCAAGGCATGTACCCGGGCATGGGCCCCAACATTCGACCTAATTTACCGCTACCGGGCTTACAAATTCCGTACTTTAATCCGGGGATGGTTGGCAGTCAACGATCGCCAAGGACAACACAGCAGAAGAGTCCATCATCACCTTACTATCCGAATAATAATTACCTGCAGTCGATAAAGCAGTCGGAAGCACAAAGTCATCCGAGGAGTACATCAAGCTCGCAAGAGTCGCCGCGGCCGCGTATTAGTGTGAAATCACTGCAAAACCTTCTGGAACCTACAGCAGCTGCTGCGTCGGGAGTTCCTTCTGCCAGGAGGTCGTCTGCTACTTCCACTGCTTTGGGCCGAAGGAGAGAAGAGACGGAGGTTGGGAGTACCACACCTCTGGGCGAACCCCCACCACATTTGCCGCCACATCCGCACGACCCGTCATCTTTCCATTTATGGCATCCTCTGTTTGGCAAGTAAGTTATTAATTTATTTTTAATTATAATGGTTTTTTTATTAAGTAAAATTGCTGACGTTGTTTTACGTCATTATTAAGGTCAATTTATAATATGGATGTAAAAATACAGCGAAGGTACATATACAGCATTTATTATTTAGTTATTAGAACATTAAAAGCAAATGCATAGGTATATGATTTTGGTATATATTTTTTACTTTCCTAATATTTAATACGAAAAATATTAAGCAACGAGTAATTGGACCATACCGTTGTCGCACTTCAAAATTATTTTTCGCAAAAATAGTTGGTAATGAAGCTAAAACATATAAACTACTTGCAAAACTTTTCTTATCGTCGTTTTATTAGTGTATATATATATGTGTATTTAATTATACCTGCACGATAACTTATGCATAATAAGTAACATACGAAATGGAAACCATAAAATACCTGACCGTGTAAATAACTCCAAAAAAAGTTTCCTTTCTTTGTCACTAGTCGTCGGCATAATTATAAGAAAATGCCATAAACAATAAAAACATCTGTAGCATGTTATGTTTAAAAACTCTTATTAACATTAGAAAAGTGAAATTAAATATTAGTCTAAACTAGTTTCCCAATTAATGGTACATTTACTGCCAGTCGCAAAGTTGTTGAGTTAGGTTGTGTGAAGGTTTACGCCCTGACTAATGTACCCTACATTCAGGCAATCGCTTGACTTTTTGCAGCTTTGCTAGCTATGCATAGTTGTACCACGAGTAGGTCGGTTCGACCAGGGTACCATGTCCATCAGCTACAGTTCCACGCTCTCACAGAATACCAGCGCGGAACAACGGAATAATGCTGCTGTGTTTCGTATGGTGAGTGTAGAGAACTGGAGACCCTTTTATTGTACACGAGGCATTCCCTCTTAGTCCTCAGGGGTGATAACGCATCTGCATTTTGATTCTTAATGCTATATGTAGATGTATATTTGCTGTAGCGTCCACTTACCTTCAGGTGATCTATATGCTCATTTGTTAATAAATTGTAAATGACGAAAATATGATTATATATTTTGTCATTTTTCGGCTAGTAGGAGTACGCGAGCTTGAGCTAATTTTTTTTTATAGAATCAGGGTGATAAACGAGCACATAGTCCATCTGATGGTAGGTGGCTGTATGCTGTGGCTCATAGACATCTAAATCTATCCTCGATTACGAATCAAAATGCAGATCCGTTGTCACCCGTGAGGATTTAGATGGAATGCCTCTTTTCCAGTAAGAAGGATCCCCGGCTCTCTACACTCACCATACGAAACACAGCAGCGTTATGCTGCTATTTTACGATGGTATTCTGTGAGAGCGTGATCCCCGGTCAAATCGACCCATTCGTGCTACAACTATACTACTAATATAACTGCAGTATGGCTCTAACATGTAGAATTTTAAAAAAATTCTCGAAAAAAAACTATTGGTTTTAATGGCTCCAAACTCCAATACTTGAAAATGTTATGGACTTAAGATATACTACTTATGTTAACAAGAAAGTATAATATGGTATAAAATTTAAATTATAATTAAAAAAGCAATTTTTCATATTAATTTATACTTTTGATAAGTACTAATTACTTCAGTGACCTTTCGTCATTACGAACAATGATTACATTACCATATAAACAGTCGGCTCTACTTTTTCACGTTAACGTTCAAACGTATTCAATATATTATATTCAGAATATATTTGAATATGGAATGTGTGAGTCTGTTCTTTGGAATTCGATGTATGTTTTGATCACAAAAGAAGTCAGTGTGGAAAAAGATCGTCCATTCTACATCGTATCCCAAAATTGAAAAGCATTTCGTTTTTATCAGGAAACCCTTTTCCGTTTTCCTAGGCACTTAGTGACCGGCCCTTTTAATTTTTCACAAAATTCTTCCGCCCGAAAAAACGTTATGTGCTACATTTGAATAGATTACGTTGGATTGAATACGTTTGAATAGAAATATGATATGTGTTTTCGTACCCTATATTATGTTGCTCAAAGGTAACATACACATAAGTAACATGATACTTTTTTAGTAAAATTTTTTTAGGCGCGACTTGAGGGTAAATATAACGTTCAGTAAATCTATAGAGACCTTTTTTACTGGAAATGAGACATTCCGTCTTAGTCCTATGGGATGACAGCGCGTCTTCATTTCGATTTTTAATCTAGGACAGAATCCATTAACCGCAGGTGGACTGTGTGCTCGCTTGTTATCCTTATTCTATTTAAAAAAAGAGTTGTATACAAACCATACAAAACACAGCAGCATTTTATGCTGGTATTCTGTGGAACGTGGTCCTTCCCCGGTCGAGCCTACCCAATCGTATAGCAGCATCGTGGCTCTACCACGTTAAAAGTAGCATCTACATCTTATATGTATATAATGGATTTTCCATTGTGAAATTGTTAGGCGAAATAATGTATTGACGCTCTGTAAGCATTAATATTCATTGCAATCCAATTAAAATGCGAAACCCATCACCCTATTGATCAAAGGGTTGTTTTGTAAAAAAAAATCTGATGAAATTTATTTGACGTCGATTAACAACACCGGCCGAAACGCCTGCTCGAAAACAAAAAAAAAAGTTCGTCATATGAAAATCTGAACAATGAAATCGAAGATAAGGACGAAGGAAAAATTCTTTTTTTTAATATTAAAGTGCTAAACGACCTAGTAGTAAATTGTTGTTGCAGTCCATTGAAAGGCGACGAACGACAGAATAAAATAATTTTTTTTAATAAAAAATAAAGGTGATATACGGGATGGTAAGATAATGCTGTGACTCTTAGACGCAAACATCTATCTTCACTTCAATTAAGAATCTATGTGCATAATGGAATAGAGTATAATAGATTGATTTTTATTCAATATAGAAGGTTATTTATTACATAATACTTATTCACATCATTTTTTAGGTCACTGTAGGTTCGGAAAATACCTTTGTTCTGAAAAGGACCAGCAGGAAATAATAGTTAAAAGGGTACCTCCCCCCCCCACATATACAGATGGACTTCAAGGCAGTTGTTACATTGCTTCTTTACGGCAGCAATGAATAAGAATCTGACACAACCCAGGCGAACTTCCAGACAAAAACCAAGCGAAAGAACACCAGCGTAAAATAGCAGCTTAATGCTGACGTGTGTTCATATGGTGAGTGTAGAGAGCCGGAGACCCCTTACTGGAAACCAGGCATTACATCTTAGTCCTCATGGGTGACAACGCATCTGCATTTTGTTTCTTAATCGCGGATAAATGGATGACTACGGGCCACAGCATCACTTACCATTAGGTGGACTGTGTGCTCGCTGGTCGCCCTTGTTCTAAAAAAAAAGAAACGAAACCGTCTACGTAGATATGGGCACTGAGTCAAGAAGCCTTAACTGTAAACCCATGTAGCTACATTTATGTGGATCTAACCGAAATTTTCCGAGCAAATTCAGCGAGTGACGTCACCACTTTACCTAATTACTGTACTTAGCCGCATTCGACGGGATGACTCAGAGCTACAAATGGGCAATAAAGCCACGGGCAGCCGCATGTGAATATGTCTTTAAAACCGGCACGTGCTACCATTTTAAATGAAAACTTTTATTGTATAAATAAGTATTTTATAGTAAAAATATCTCAATGAGAGCCTAGTAAAAATTAGTGTACCACACTCTCCTGTGTAAAGTTACTAAGCACCAGGATTAATTGTTACCTAGAGGTCCGCCTGTGTGGGTACCACTTGTATGGCGCCTGGAGCAGTACGTGCACAGCGGTTTTCATGTCTAAAGGGGTTGTATAGCCAGTATGCTTACAAATTGTGAGGCGTTCCATATCAGTTCTTACGTGGTAAAGCCACGCTGCAGCTATATTAGTTGTTGCACGAATTGGTCGACTCGATCGGGGTAGGACCACGTTCTTACAGAACACCAGCGTAAAATGGCAGCTTAAAGCTGCTGTGTTTCGTATGGAGATTGTAAAGAATCTGAGACATTTTTAACTGGAAACGAGGCATTTCATCTTAGTGCTCAGGGGTGACAACGCACTTATATTTTGAGTCTTAATCGAAGACAAAGGTGTCTATGGGCCCAGCATCCTCTTACCATCAGGAGGACTGCGTGCTCCTATGTCACCTTTATTCTATAAAAAAAGCTTACAGCCTTCTTTATTAGAAGTTGGTTGCAGGTGTCCATGGACTTCAGAAGCCACTTACCATCAGGTGGGCTACAGCCGTATTACAGCTGCAGTACGAATGGGTCGGCCGGGGAAGGACCATGCTCGCATTGAATACCATCATCGACCAGAGCAAAACGATCCTGTCTTTCGTATGCTAAATCGGGACCCATTCCAACTTAGTCGTCTAGGGTGACAAACCATCTGAATTTTGATTCTGAGTCGAGAATAGATGTAGTTGTATTCTGTAGCTTGAAATAGCAGCATAATGCTGCTATTTCGTAAAGCGAATAATTATAACTGGAGACCTATTTTAATACTGACGAGCCATTTTATTTTAGTATCAGGTGGACTAAACACTAGTTTAAAACAACATTCATTGTGATAATATTATAAAGATTCTTTTATAATATTATCACAATGAATGTTGTTTTTTTTTATTTTATATTTCGTCAATAAACAAGACATACTAGAAGCATTTTTGATAGAGTTCCCACAGTTTCAAGTAATATGTATCACAGAATCTTGGCTAACGCTTGAAAAACTACAGATAATACAATTTTCAAATTATAGGATAGCTGCTTCATTCTGTAGAAAATCCCGCGTTGGCGGCGGAGTTTGTATCTTGTTGAGAGATGTTCTAAAATATGTAGAAAGAGAAGAAATAGCCAAAATGTCAATAGAATATATAACAGAAGTGTGTGCAGTGGAGCTACCAGAAGAAAATATTTTAATTATAACTGTGTATTGGAATGGAAGACAGGAAGACGCATTCTATAATCGGTTACAATATATCTTAAATTATATAAATAAAAATTTTTCTAAATACAGT